GCTGGCGAGACGAGAGCCTGCATGTAAGGGCTGGCCGCCCCAGGAACAACAGTGAAGGCGGTGGGTGAGGCAGGTTCGGAAGGAATAATGCAAGCACCCGCTCCCGAGCGGGGCGCATCACTACTGCCCGCTCCCGCGGTGCACGCGGTGTCACCCACGTGAGCGACAGGACGTATGCGATCGTCTCTAGACAGGAGCAAGACAGCGGCGTGGGGGTCCGGACCCGACCAATCGCAACTGGGGGGAGAGGTCAGCGGCGTGGGCAGGGGGAGGAGCGGGGGCTCCTGCTGCGCCGCGCGAACAGGGCAACAAATCGACAGCGGTTTAAGCCGACTGTGACAGGGGGCGTTGGCCGCTTTTACACCGGACTGGCGCAAAAGGCGCCGCGCACGGGCCGCGCATTTACTGGACGACGCCGCATCAGCAACAGCATCCTGGAGAGAGGCATGGAGGCAAAGGTTAACGGCGACGAGGAGCCCCGGCGAGACCGTGACCAGGAACTTCGCAACAGCGTTGCTAGCAACGCGGACCGAGAACACACGCGGCCGAACTTGGACCGCCCGCAGTCGCTCGGACGACGAACAGAAGAAGTAGGACAGGAGGGAGGCAACGCCTACGAACGGCACCACGACCCACACGGTGCCTGGCGCCGACAAAGAGGGAAACTCCACGGCGCCGAAAGGGACCCCGGTGAGGAAGGCAGCGACGACGCGGGAGCGAAAGGCGATACCTGGACGGGGAACGAGGTCAACTCTGGCGGGGCGGTGCAGCACGACGGGGCACCCGGCAGCAGCATTGGAGGCAGGGCAGGGGCCAAGGGACGAAGCCGGCGTCGGTGGTTGCGGTGGTGGTGGTGGTGGGAGGATGCTGGAGCTGCAACGGGCGTCCGGCGAGTTGCCCGCCGGGGCGCCCGGCGAGCCGCGGGAGCAACTCATTCCGCTGCCGAATCTCAGTTCTCTAATCTGCGGATATAAAGAGATGATGTATGGAAAACTATGAAAGCCTCCGTTTTTTAATATTAGGTAAAGATAAAGATAAAGATAAAAATGAATAGATTGAAAGTTTTTTGAAAAGAAAAAATCTCTAACAAAGAAACAAACACGTTCAGCTTCCGAGGACTTCAACTCCATGTATCATTTGGCCCAGTGCTTTATTTATATTTATAAAGTAAGGTAAAAACCTGTTTTGAACTGAAAAAAAAGAAACAAACACCACAAACGTGCTTGCTAGCTAGCGAACTGACGGATACTTGGTCGTCGGAATAACATATGCTCCAGACTTGGTCAGACAGCACATAGTGCCTTCTTTTCTGACATAGGAGATAGCGCAGAAAGTTGTTGCGGCGTTGTCGTATGGCTTGTACCTTGTGTTTAACGGACATTACCAGAGGCCATTGCGATCTGTACTCAGCATGTGCGTGCAACGTTTGAAGATTTCGAGGTCGGAAGTTCTATATGATGCGTGTTTGTTCACGAGCTTCCAAACACAACGTAGCAAATGTCTGCTGTGAGCTTTCCCCACGGAATACAGATCTTCATGCTACTCTACTACTCGATATGTTCTCTGCACTTGCCGCATGCAACCTCGCTTTCCTTTAGCTTCAACTTTTCCCAGCCCGGTGGCTACGACGCCCAAAACTTCAGCTTCCAAGGCGACGCATACTACGACTCCCAGTCTCAGACGATCGAGCTGACGAAAGCCGGCGGGAGTCCAAACATCCAGAACAGCGTAGGCCGGGCGTTGTATGCGCAGCCCGTGCCGCTGTGGGATGCCATCACCGGAGAGCTGGCCCGGTTCACCACCTCCTTCACCTTCGAAATCAAGGTAAACAGTGAACTCAGTGGCGATGGCATGACTTTCTTCCTTGGCCATTACCCTCCGACGAGCATTCCCGATCCCCTCGACAATGGCCGGAACCTCGGCCTCTTCAACAAAAGCGTCGGCACGGTGGCGACCGGCGACAACCGAGTCGTGGCGGTTGAGTTCGACACGTTCTTGAACGTTGAGTCCGACAACAGCGACAGCCACATGGGCATCGACGTCAACTCCATCATCTCCCGGGCGTACACCAACGTGGCCGTGCCTGGAAAGAACCTCACATCGAACCTCCCAATGACTTGCCACATCAGCTACAGCAATGACACAAAAATCCTTGCTGCTGTTCTCCAGATCGTCGACGTGACCTACCGTGTCAACACAAGTGTTGACCTGAGGCAGATGCTGCCTAGTGTGGTGGCCATTGGCTTCTCGGGTGCTACTGGCGTGGCTGTCGAGCAACACCAAATAATGTCCTGGTCATTCAACTCCACCTTGGATCCGTCGCCTCCACGGAGGAACCCCAAGATTCCGTGGAAACTACTAGTAGAGGCAACCGGACCAGTTACCATTTTTTTGGCGATTGTGTGCATCTTTGTCGGCGTCCGACGACGGCAACTATGCACGAGAAAGAAGCATTACAGAGCTCTCGCCAGAGGCCTTGAACATTTTGATTATCATAAGCTAGCACATGCAACCAACAAATTCTCACAGGAGAACAAGCTTGGGCAAGGAGGTTCCGCCTCTGTTTATCAGGGCCAACTGACAAATAGACATGTGGCCATAAAGAGATTCAGGCCAGTAGCATCCGGCGAAGGGAGGAAGGCGTTCGAGGACGAACTCAGGATTGCCAGCGGCCTGAGGCACAAGCACCTAGTCGAATTGATAGGCTGGTGCTACGATCGCAAGAGGAACCCGATTGAGTTCATATGCTGGTGGTGGGACGACAAGTACACACGTCTCTTTCTTGTGTATGAGCTTTTGCCACAAGGTAGCCTCGATCAACACCTACACAGGGGCAAAAGTTGGTTACCATGGTCCAAGAGGTACGCATTATAATTCCATCTCAAGAGAATTTACACCATTGCATGCAACTTCATTTTTTCTTGATACATAATGAATGGTTACATGCTTTTACAAGCAGGTATGAGATCATCCTCGACCTAGGCTCTGCACTGCAATACCTCCACGTAGATTGTGAGCAAGGCCAACAATGTATCGTGCACGGTGATATCAAGTCTAGCAATGTGCTCCTTGGGTCTTCATACGGTGCGAAGTTGGGTGACTTCGGCTTGGCAAGGTTTGTTCACCATGAAACTGGTTCACAGACCACAGATGTTCTGCAAGGCACTTATGGATATATAGACCCTGTGTTCCTTGACACCTGCCAACGGAACAGGCAGTCAGACATATACAGTTTTGGCATTGTCCTACTAGAGATGGTCTCTGGAAGGGATCCAACAATGTGTCTCCATGATAGGCCTCCATTGTCATCATGGGTAAGGAGTTCGTACCATAGGAATGACATCCTGGACGCCGCAGATGAGAGGCTGATAAGCGGCGAGTCCAATGTCGCGCGTCAACAGATGGAGCACATGTTACTCATCGGGCTCTTGTGCGTGCATCAGGACCCGAGCATACGGCCGTCCATCACCCACACCATGGAAGCCCTGCGATCGGAGGAGCTGACATTGGACATTGTTCCCCTAGCACCGGTGACACTCTCGCTGCCATAGCCTTTGTAGTTCAGGATTTAGCCCAAAAATCAACAAAGTAATACCAGATACATGTATTCTTTTTTAGTTGATACCATAAATATATTCAATGGATACATATTAAGCCGGGATGTATTGGGAATAAGAATCGTGTGCTACAAAGTCGGATGTATGCATCAACTGATGACCCGCACAATTGAAAAGTGGCTAGATTTCCTTGATGCTAGTACAAATGCGTTTTTTATGTTTTATATGGTTTTTAATAAATATTTTAACCATTTTTTCCCATACTGTATGCTTGTATGAAACTATAAATTACAATATCTAGTAACAAAAATACAAAGGTGAACATATTTTCACGTGCTCCCATGTGGATAGTAAATTCAAAAAATACTAAAAACAAAAATAATATGAAATTTTGGGGTATCAAACTTGTCGATCATTTTACTCACGCACGAAGTTTCGTGAAGGAATGTCACCCGGGGTATGTGGTAGTTCAGAAACTTCATATGTGAGTAGACCAGTCGATTATGTATGTTTCAATGAAAGAATGCCACCTGGGAATCTTAGTATCCCTTCAAATAGTGCTTTGCTTTGATTTTGTCTGAAATTGTATTGATGTCATTTCTTCGTGAAACTTGATACACGATTATACCAGTCGACCATGTATGTTCCAAAAAGTTCAGTTTTTTAATATTAATTTTGTAGTATTTTCTCTTAAGAATTTACTATTCATAAAGGGTTCCCGTGGAGCCATGTTCCACAAATCCATGTCATAGTTTAGTTGACCAACTTAACTATAAACATAAACATACATTGCTTGTATACATAAATTGAGCCTCCTCTCTATCCACCAGCCCCCATATCAAACCATATAGTATAGTCACATTAATCAATCAGCATATTGTTTCTGTAAAATTGAAAAAAAAACTTAGTTACACCTAGAATAAAAATCATTATTCATGAATGAATCCGCTAATAGTTAGACATCAAAGAAGGAGCACCTTGTATTTTTTGGCGGATCTTCACAAAAAATCAAATGATTGATATATAAACCTTATATTCTATTTATGAACATGTTTCATCATTTATTCTATTGTAATTATGTTATTCTATTAGTGGAATGTCATGCATTTAGATGATTCTGTGGCACGAACAACTGATTCATGTCTATTCCTAAATTCTGCTTTGTATGTACTCTACATGGAGTTCTGACTGGTTTATTGACCCGGCTCTTAAATATCATATAGCCAACACAAACGGCTTTTTTGCGAGGCTAGTGTATTATGGAGGGTTTTTTTGTCTGCATGAAACCACCCAAATTATGTAATAAGAAGTTGGATGGAGTTATTTTCAAGTTCGATTTTGAGAAAGCCAATGATAAGGTGTGTTGGTCAGTTCTACAACAAGAATGGTAGATGAAGGATTTCTCTTTGATTTGGAGAGAGCTGGCTTGATAACTTTGTTTAGAAAGTGTTTCCATTGAAGTAAATGACGATGCCGAACAATTTTTCAATCTAGGAAAGGGCTATGTCAAGGGGATCCTTTGTCACATATTATTTGTAATACAACTAATCATCAACCGGCGCATCAGTACAAGCTTGTTATTTTCTATGGCAATTAAATATACTAGTCATCATCCCGTGCATCTGCACGGGCTAGGGATTTTTACATAGTTTCAACATTATGGTGTTGTCCGAATATATAGTGCGGAAACAAACATTTGAAATCAAAATATTACAAAAGGTGTCATATATTTCAATATTTTTCCCTCATCAGTATCACATGATTCTTTGTTTCAAATAGAAAAGACAGTGACGTTTATATCAGCACCGAAGTTTTTTTATCAAACTTGGAATACGAACAATAAATCTCAATAGATTTGAAATAGTGACCATTATCTGAATTTGAATCAAACCATTGATTAATACGCAGAGTTTTAATGCTCCATTGCTTATTTCTTTAGTTTTACATTCCAATTCGTAAATGAAGAATATATACCATCAGGCTAATATATATTTGCAAGGAAGGATCACTTTGTTAACAAAATAGGTATATACAATTATAATAATTCTCATATAAAGGCAAGAAATAGAATAAAGTGTACACCTACTCATTTTTTTACTAAGTTGGCTTTCTTTTTTCTTCTCGGATGCATTTTGATTTGTAATCTATCAGGAAAAACACCAAAACAATTTAGTACAAAATTACTCACCAAAATAACAGTGTGAACTCATTTGCTCATGTAGAAGCATCTAAACTCATGGTTAACATTGCACGTATATGCATGCAATAATGTTGATGGGGTTGATGTAGTGGACGCTAGAGCCTTGCCGCTGGCATAGTGAAAGGAAAAATTCCATGACCAATTGATTCATATAGTCCTACAAATACTAACTTGGCCTGCTCAAAACAAAATGATTTCTTCTTTCAAACGCCGAGATTCTATCAATCAGTTTTATACATGTAACTAAAAAAATATTAGTAAAAAGGAGAACATCTTGCGAACTATCTCAAGAACACATCCTTAAGACGGTGAGGTTAAGCTCATCTTGCTGCTGCTGCTTGGATGAACCATGCATGGAGGTGCTGCACGAACTTGAAGCTTTCAAGATTCAAAGGTTTGAGAGGAAGTGATCTAGGAGAAGCTGGATGGATCTTGTTTTTTTGTGGGGAAAGAGAGAGGGTCATGGATTTTCTTCACATAATCCAGCGTCAATGGAGCTTAGAAGTTTAGGATGGCATGGATGATGCAAATATGCTGAGGAGGAGGAAGAGGAGCGCTAGGGTTCTGTTGCTCGGCGGACGGGATTGACGGAGGAAGAAGTCTGCAATGCAAGGATTTTTTTTACTTTATTTGCTAAAAGAGTTGGACGTGGAACAACAGCCGAGTTTTTTTTGGCTTAAAGAGATAAATGTGGGACAACAGCCTAGGACTCTTAAACTAGCTTATCCAACGGCTGTAGATAAGAAAATATAAATCAGAAACAAAAAATTATCATGAGATTGATACAACTGAAAGTTGAGGATCGTTTGGTTTCAGATGCATCTAATAGATGAAATTATGTGTGACATTAGAAGATAGTTGCAATAACAATCACGCCCATATAAGCAAGTGGGCAGAATGATTTTCTAGTACTGGTCATTCTTGTGCAAATATATTAAAACTGATCAGTTCAAATGTAAAATACCTTATAGCAGTATGCAGCCAATGGCAATATGGGATGAATAGGGGAGAGGTAATGCTAGTCCACCACAAAAATACCATAAGATTAACCCATCTTTTAATATAAATGACAGCCCATATTTTCATCAACTACTTAATAAAGTATTGGGAGTTCAAAAATTAAGCAAACCATGTAACTACGGAATTATTGGAGAATTAGTGTATATAAGTCCCAACTTCAGAGGTATCCTAAAGAATTTGTCAATTGAAAGGTCTATATTAACTTCCATTTTATTGACAGAGTAGTGTTACCTTATCCATGCAAAAAAGGGCACCCGCAAAAAAAAGGGAGACGTTACCTACAACTTTGTGGTCCTAAATGTGAGTATGTAGAACTAATTTTTTTTTTGCCAATCGAATAAGGTTGAACTTGTAACTCAGCATAAGTTTGTTAGTTATTGTGGAGTTCTGCTGCTGGCGTGCATGTCGCACACATAAGCCGAACACTATTTTCAGGTAGACACATTCTTTGAAATTGAAAGAAACAACAATCTGTGTGTTGAAAATACAACACAACAGATGTTTTCGTCGATATTTACTGGTATGTATATATATATATATATATATATATATATATATATATATTCCTTTTTATTCTATTTTATGGAATAGCAAGAACTCCATAGATCCACAAATATTCTTTATTAGTTAGCAGACCACATGTGAATAATCACCTGCAAGAGGAAATTAGTAAAAGGAAAGCAAATTAAACAACTTGATCCACACCACACTGTATCATCCTTGAGATTACAAATCCGAGTTAGATGCATCATATCAAATGCATTCATAATTTTATTGCGTCTACCGAGAAGCAGAAAATCAAAGTCGAACACAAACTAATTAAACTGGTAGCTGCATGTTGTATATTTGTTTCACGTAGCTACTAAATTAGTGTTTCTGGTTCCAGTACGTATACCTGCTGGGTAGGGCCATGTTGTAGGTAGGTGTTCCCCTCAACGACATTGTCAAGCTTGTCTTGGAACTAAACCTCTCCCTCAGCGATCTCCCTGGCATCTTGATTCCCAATGATGACCATCTTCCTGCACACAAATATAATCCCTCATCATAGTGCACCTCTGCACATGGTCCCTGATCTATCTGTAGCAACCTGGTGCTCACGTTCCCTACTTCTTCACCATCTTGACAACCTCTCTCTCACCAGACTTCAGCAGGATGCATGCGGTACGCCTTGGTTCCACGACGGAAGGGCCGTTGGTACTCTCCCTCCAGCCTCCAGCGCAGCCCCATCTTCTCAGTCTCCATCATGTGAGCCTCATCAGCCTAGGCCAATAGGAAATCACCCACGTAGAGAACTCCCTCGTCCGGGTAGCCGGGGCATGTTCGCTGGAACAAAAAGGCAATCGGAGGCTGGGCATGGGGATTTTGGTTGTCGAGTCACCGAGGGAGTAGTTCGTGGAGATATCTCAGGGGTAAGTTATGGGATTGTATTTGTGAATAATTACGTGAGATTCCAACATCCCCACGTTTCGTGAGATACAGTTTTCCACGTTGATTTATTTCCCTTTTTGTTAGCCTTTTTAATTTTTCTTTCTGGGGACAACAGATCAAAGTTTTTTTTTGTATACAACTACCTTGGACGTGTCAGATGCCTTTTTTTGGACGTACGAAACAATCTATGTTATGTAAGTTTTTCTTTTATCCTGGATGTAAATTTTATAATCCAACGGTGTAATTAATTTTGATGATGTGGATTAATGAGAATACTTGAAAGGTGCCTCCAATTAGTAACTACCTTGGATGTGTCAGATGCCTTTTTTGGACGTACGGAACAATCTATGTTACGTAAGTTTTTCTTTTATCCTGGAGGTAAATTTTATAATCCAACGGTGTAATTAATTTTGATGATGTGGATTAATGAGAATACTTGAAAGGTGCCTCCAATTAGTAAATAGAAGATTTTTTGCATTTATTAATTTTTTTGGATAGATTTGCATTAGAGGGGTTTCATGATTATACATAAGGAATATTGTTTGGAGCATTTATCAGAAAGAGCATTGGAACTTGATGGATATAGTGCTTGCCATTTAACTTTACTAGACCATGACAGTGCTCGTTGCAGCGCCCTCTCTATGTTTACAATTTAATGATAGATTTTCAATATTTGTTCACAATATAATGATGGAAATTTACATAAATACTCCTTCCGTTCCTAAATGTAAGTCTTTTTTAGATATTTCAATATAGATTTCATACGGAGCAAAATGAGCGAATCTACACTCTAAACTACGTCTGTATACATCCGTATGTAGTACATATTGAAATCTCTAAAAGGACTTGTATTTAGGAATGAAGGGAGTATATGAAGTCCTTAGACTAAATTGGAAAGTAGTGCTATTTTACTATCCAAGGGAAGCAGGGAAGCAGAGGTATTGTAGTGATAGAAGCTACCTCTCTCTTTAGTGGAACTTAGATAAGAGAGTAATGGAGACCGCCTTAGCCATGTTCATGGCGAGAACCTTAATCATTGTTGCCTCTATCCAGCTAGGGAGGAATAGTGGTGGAGGGTGTGATACGGAGTTATGGTAGTGTGTGCGTAGCTGTACTGGCTTCACCCACACATAAAAACATATAAAGTTGATTATATCTGAACCCAGAATTGTACAATGGCATAAATAAGTAGCATACACGCTAGAGGTGATCCCGGACTCTCTGAGAATGCCTTAGCCATACTGTAGGTTTCATTGGTTTCATTACTCTCTTGTTCTTTACTTTCATTCTTACGCACTTTAGTTCCCGTCACAAACACTCACGCAAACACTTACGAATCACTTTTGTTTTGAATTACAATTAACTTATAGGCCCATCCGGATAAACCTCTATAAGGAGCAAAGACCGTTTCCTAGCTCTCTTTGTGAGCAATACTATTACTTCAAAAAGCCTACAACTCAACCATGCAGACTTGAGACATCATGCTTTTTCTGGCACCATTGCTGAGGAGCTAAACACATTTGGTCTTTTGTTTATTTTATTCACTGGGTTATTTTACAGGTTCTAGGCAACCATGACCGAGTTTGGACATATGTATCAACTCGCGGCAATAAAACTCTAGGACCGCCTATTAAATAAATCTTCACATCTATAGGCCCAAGACCTAATGATGAAACGAGTTTACTCGGATTATTGTAGAGTAAGAAATTTATAGTTGATGGTACAGAAGATCTGTATCAACATATGCAACTGTTTGATGGGAGGGAAATCTAAAGTTGGACATTTTTTAAATGCTTGTTTAACATTTTTCCAAATATTTCCCCGCAAGGTTATTATGGAAAAAGTTGATAATGTACTTAAAAAAATGTTATTCAAGCATTTAAAAAATGATAAAAAAATGTTCAAGCTGTTTTGGGAACCTTCTATGACTGTTCCAAGCTGGTTTTATTTTTCCGATTTTGGAAACCTTCTAGAGTGTTCCTGAAACAGTTTTTCTTTTTATATTTATTTTCATTTTTCATTTTTTCCTATTTCTTTTTTTGTTCTTTCTTTTTTCTGTCTTTTTTCTTTCTTCTTCCTCTTTTTCTTTTTCCTTTTTTTATTTTTTCAACAAATGTTTTCATAATTTTTTCTAAAAAGTAAAATTTCAGATTTTGTTACTTTTTTCAGAAAATGTTTCTGTTTTCAAATTTTTAAGCAGAAATTTCTAAAAAATTAGAATTCCAAAAATTGTTCACTTATTTAAAAAAGTGTTTGTCTTTTTAAATTTGGCTCACAAACTAAAAAAGTTTGGATTAAGAAATATGTTCCTGCTTTCAAAATTTGGTCAAAAATTCTAAACATATTCATGTTTCAAAATTTTCTTTCTAATTCAAAATATTTTTGTGTATTTCAAATCTGTTTACGAGTTAAAAAATGCTCAGGAATTTTAAAAAATGTTCCCTTTTCTGAGAAAATTTCCAAAAAATGTGCACGTCCTCATTTTTGAGTTTCGAAATTCTTCAGTTTCAAAATTTTGTTCACAAATTTTTAAAAATGTTCGGGCGGTTCAAAACATGTTCCTGTTTTAAAAAATGTCAATGTTTTCATTTTTTCCGGAGTTTCAAAATTTTGCATTTTTAAATTTTTGTTCACAAATTTCAAAAAATGTTCGGGTGGTTCAAAACATTTTCCCATTTAAAAAAATTATTCACAAATTTAAAAAATGTGCATGTTTTCATTTTTTCAGGAGTTTCGAAATTGTTCAGTTTCAAATTTTGAAAAAATGTTCTTGTTTGCACATTTTTGAAAATATGTTCGCATTTTCAAATTCTGTCTTGGAATTTAAAAAATTGTTCCCATTTCAAAAAAAGTTCCTCATTTTTGCAAATATTTCAGTTTTTTTTTTGCAAATCAGTAATTTGCTTGTGTGTCATAGATCCCTTAATTTTTTTAATAAAAAATGCTTTTGAAATTCAAGATATAATTTGGATCTGCTCTGCGGGATTGGTTCTTTAAGCTCCGCGCTGCTGTAGAATTGGTATCGACTGCTAGCTCAATTTGTTGTACCACGTGAGGTATAGTGTGAGGTCCTGGGTTCGAATTCCTGCGACCGTGGTATTTCTTTTTTTGCTACAGCGCATTGTCGTTCGATATATTCATGGGCCGGCCCAGTTGGACACCCGCCTGTGCGAAACCGCGCTTGTTTGCCGTAGCGAGCGGCGAATAGGAGCTCCCAAGATATAGCCTTTGCGGTCACACTGCTCGCGATTCAAGATAACAAATTTAAAAAGAAAAATTTAGAAATAATGCTCATGTTTTCACAAAGTATTAAGAAATTTGAAAAAAATCGTGTTCTAAAATGTTGCATCTTGAAAATGTTCACGTATTTTCAAAATCTTTGAAATATTCAAAAAATGTTTACATCTTTTAATGCCCCAAAACAATGTTTTCCTTTTTTAGAATAACCGAATGAGAAAAACCTATGGTAATGAAAAGCAACTGCTAGAAACTGTAAAGCCTGTCCCCAATTTTCATCACGAAGTTTGAATTACCCCTTTTCGGCTTGTTGCCAAGAATAATGGTTGATCTCAACAACATAACAAAGGCCAGGCTCATGCGACGAAGATGTATGTGACGGTGGATCCGGAAATGCTTATTGTGCAACGACAAATCATGAAACGTGAGCTCAGCTCATGACACTTCATTCCAGAGACGAACGAACTTGGAGTTGATATATCAACATCGATCATGTAGGAGGCAGGAAGGGAAACCAGCCAAAAAAGATGGTCTGAGATGGCCATTCCCAAGTACATCCTGTAGTAGCAGTACTTCTTTTCTCACCTAGGAGACAGCGCAGAAAGGTGGTGAGGCCTTGTCGTTTGGCTTATATCTTTCTGCTTAACGGACATTACCAGAGGCGACATGTACACGGGATTTGCGTGCGGCATGACGTCGAGGCCCGAGCCCGATGCCCCCGGCAGCTGGCTGTTCGTTTGCATCGCCAAATATTCATCTAGATCACGAGCCAATATATAGCTAGGATGTGCTTGTTCACGAGCTTCCTTCCAAAGCAAATGGCTGCCATGCGTTTCTCCCACCGAATACAGATCCTCATGCTCCTCTGCTGCTCGATATGGCCTCGTGCTACCTCGTTCTCTTTCAGCGCCAACTTCTCCGGCCCCGGTGGCTATGAGGCCACCAAGCACCTTCGCTTCCAGCGCCACGCGCGCTTCGACAACGGCTCTCGGATGATCCATCTGACAAAAGCCGGCGGGAGTCCAAGCAACAGCCTAGGCCGGGTGTTGCACGAGCACTCTGTGACTCTGTGGGACGCCGCCACCGGCGAGCTCGCCGGATTCAACACCTCCTTCACCTTCCGAATCGAGGCTGTAAACGGCAGCAACTCCACTGGCGATGGCCTGGCTTTCTTCCTGGGCCACTATCCTCCAACGAGCATCCCCGATCCCCTCGACAACGGTCGCAACCTTGGCCTCTACCCGAAAGACGTCGGCAGGGTCGCGACCGGCGCCAACCGTTCCGTAGCGGTCGAGTTGGACACCCACATGAACCCTGAGGTCGACCATAGCGGCAGCCACATGGGCATCGACGTCAACTCCATCCAATCCCGGGCGTACACCAACGCGACATCGCCTGGCAGAAACCTCACGTCGGGCCTCCCAATGACTTGCCACATCAGCTACGGTAACGACACCAAGATCCTAGCAGCCGTTCTCCAGATCGGCGACGCCACCTACCATGTCAACACCAGTGTTAACCTGAGGGATCACTTGCCTAACAAAGTGGTTATCGGCTTCTCAGCTGCTACCGGCCAGGGGGTCGAGATACACAAAATCATATCCTGGTCGTTTCACTCCACCTTGGCTCCGCACACGCAAAGCTCCAAGGTTCTACCGCCAAAGATGACGTGCAAACTGCTAGTAGAGGTAATAATTGTTCCACTTATTGGAGTTATTGCAATTGTGTGCATCTTTGTTCGCGCCCGCCGATGGCAGTTATGCACGAGAAGGAAGCATTACACAGCTCTCGCCAGGGGTCTTGGGCATTTTGATTGTCCTAAGCTAGCACGTGCGGCCAACAAATTTGCAAAGGAAAACAAGCTCGGGGAAGGAGGTTCTGCCTCTGTTTATCGGGGCCAGCTGACAAATCCATCAAGAGCAGTGGCGATAAAAATATTCAAACCGGCAACATCCCACGAGGGGAGGAAGGCGTTCGAGGATGAACTCGGGATTGCTAGTCGCCTGAGGCACCGGAACCTTGTCGAATTGATAGGATGGTGCTACGATTGCCCGAGGAACCTGATTGAGTTCGTTTGCTGGTGGCGGGACGACAAGTACACACGTCTATTCCTTGTGTATGAGTTGTTGCCACAAGGTAGCCTTGATCAACACCTACACGGAGGCAACAGTTGGTTGCCATGGTCCAAGAGGTATGTATTGTAATACCACCTCCAAATCATCTACATCACTGCAACTTAGTTTTTTCTTTGATACATAATCGTAACATGCATGCTTTGACAAACAGGTACGAGATCATCCTGGACCTAGGATCTGCACTGCAATACCTCCACGTAGATTGTGAGCAACACAAGCAATGTGTCGTACATGGTGATATCAAATCAAGCAACGTGCTGCTTGACCCTTCGTATGGTGCCAAGTTAGGCGACTTCGGATTGGCAAGGTCTGTTGACCAAGAAACCGGGGCACAAACCACAGACGTTGTGCAGGGCACTTACGGATATATAGACCCTGTGTTTGTCAACACGAGCCAGCGGAATAGGCAGTCAGACATGTACAGTTTTGGCATTGTCCTACTAGAGATGGTCTCTGGAAGGGATCCGACGGTGCGTCTCAACAATAGGCCTCCATTGGCATCATGGGTAAGGAGTTTGTACCATAGGCATGCGCTCCTAGAGGCCGTAGATGGCAGGCTGTTAGGTGGTGAGTCTAGTGCCGGCCGGCAGCAGATGAAGCGTGCGCTACTCGTTGGCCTCTTATGCGTGCACCAGGACCCGATCAGCAGGCCGTCAATCAACGACACCATGTATGCACTGCGATCAGAGAGGCTTAAATTGGATATGACTCCCCTAGCGCCAGTGACACCACTGTTGATGCCGTAGCCTATCTTGTTCAGGCTTCTAGTCCAAAAAATCACAAAATAATACCATACATGTATTCAAGGGCAACATGTTGAGCATGGATGTATCGCCAATAGGAATCTTGTACCAGGACGCCAAACAAAATACTCATACTACAAAGGCCACGACGGTGTCACCAACATTAAGTAATTCTTAGGTTGATTCATATAAATCAGTATTTGTTTTGGTAATCAAGATCAATTCAATATTGCCTTGGCATTTGAGTATCTTCATCAATGGCAGTCCAACTAGGAAATTGCCAATCTTATACTGGACTTCGGAAAAAGCTTTTAAACTGAGAGAATAAACTGAGAGAATACAATACCGTCTTGGAAGTTCGGGGTGCTAGAGGTTTTGGATATAGATGTCCTACAGGGCACTTACAAATATATAGACCCATGTGGCGTCCTATCGGCGGCTTGCCGTCCCTACCACGGCTCGACTGATCGGGTCTACTTATTCCCTCGCATGTGTGCCTGGAGCAAACCTTGCATCTGCTTCATCTACCCCTTAGTCTATTGCTTGTTCTCGTTTCATATCAGTAGCTTATTCTCGTCTAAGTGCATGGTATATTTCTACCTGTATGAGTAACACCACCCTATCTATCTGCTTGTGGAATGTAAGAGTACTTGGTGATGTGTCAAAATGCGCTAATATCCTCTCCGAGCTTATCAGCATTAGCCCCCACTGCGCCCTTTTGCAGGAATCAAAACTAAATGAAATTACTGAATAAAAATTCCGATCCTTCCTACCTCGCTCTCTCGACCAAAAATGTTTTTACCAGCCGACGGCTCGGCTGGTGGAACAGTTTAATTCAAATTACTTCTCGGTGCTCTCTCACACACACCATAACTTTGCCACATCGATCAAACTCACGTCCCTCGCGCACCACAACCCTTCATCATCACTAACGTATATGTTCCCGCAAGCCGTAACCTGAAACAAGCCTTTCTCGATGAGCTCAAACTGATGAAACAAGGTAATCACACGCCTTGGTTAATAGTAGGAGACTTCAACTTTGTCCGGTTTTCTAACCAAAATTTCCACCAACGAGAAGCAGATGCTTTTAACAACATGATCAATGAGCTAGCCCTACTCGAACTTCCACTGCTTGACAGACGCTTCACTTGGTCCAACAAACGCTCTGCGCCGCCAACCTTAGAAGGATTAGACTGGGCTTTCTTTAATCTGCCTTGGAATAATTGCTTCCCAAACGCAACCTTGTCCTCACTTCCACGTATCACATCCGATCACGTCCCCCTAATCCTATGCATTCAAATAGGTGTACCCAAACCGCACCACTCTAGATTCGAGTCTTCATGGTCTCACGCCACAGAATGCCATGACATCGTTCAAAAATGCTGGGCCACCAACCGTCGCACGGCCCAACGAACAAATTCAGCAGTTGCCCTGTCCAAAGCCTTGAAAACAACATGTTCCTCTCTCAAACAATGGGCATCCAAATGATCACCAGCCCACCTCCGCGAAGCAGCTACAAAACAAGTCATAAATCTCATTGACCTAAAAGAAGAAGCTCGGCCGCTCTCAAAACCCGAACACGGGGTTGAGACTTGTTGTCTCCAATGCCCTACACACAACTATTTCTGAAAAAATTGGCCTTCTGAAAACAACGAGGATAAGTGCGCGCTGCTATTCACAGTGAGGAGAACACATAATACTTCCATGCCGCTGCCTCCCAGAGGCTTCGCAAGAACACTATAACTTCCCTCCTACTAATGGGACAAAGTTCCACTCTCATGCCCAAAAAGCAGCCATTCTACGGCATCGCTTCACATCCATTATCGGCTCACCACCTACCTCCTGGTCCTTCCAGCCACACCAATACTACCCCCAACCGCTACCCCAACTCCTCAATATGGAATCTGCCTTTACTCATGACGAAATAAAAGAGGCATTCATGCAAATGACCCCCCCCCCCTAGCTAGCCCTGGACTGGACGGATTTGGCCCCCTATTCTGTAGAAAATACTGGAATCTCGTTAAAACCACATCTTTTCGTTCATGACAGACTTCCAAGACCTCTCTGTCCAAACCGAATGTTTAAACCGAGCCCACCTAATTCTGCTACCAAAAAAAGAAGAAGCAAATACACCGGACTCCTACCGCCCGATCTCTCTCCAAAATTGCCCCGTCAAAGCCTTCGCAAAGGTCCTCACCAATAGACTAAAACCGCTAATCCCATTGCTTGTTCACGAAAACCGGACTGGTTTCATCTCAGGTCGTTGCATCGCGGAAAATTTTGTCTGTGATGCGGATCTTATCGGCTCCTGCCATTCTTGCAAAACCCCAACCATGGTCATAAAACTAGACTTCAGCAAAGCCTTCGACACTCTCTCATGGGAATCTCTCACCGCCATCCTACACTGCCGCGGCTTCCCGCGAAAATTCTCGGCCTAGATCCAGGATATCCTCTCAACAGGAAAAACGACCATCATGTTGAACGGGATCCCAGGAAACTGGATAAACTGCAAGAACGGCCTCGGACAAGGAGACCCCATATCACCCCACCTATTCATCATCGTTGCTGACCTCCTTCAACAAATGATCACACAAGACTGCGACCTCCGGCACCTCATACACCCCCTGTTCTCACACCTGCCACCGACCGTTCTATAATATGCCGATGGCACCCTCATCATCGCCAAGGCATCCAATGATGTGGCCATGCAATAAAACACATTCTTCAAAATTTTGCATGGCTACAGTCCTCATGATAAACTAAACAAAAACTACATTCATGCCTATGCATGTGTGCCCTTTAATTGCGGACTCCATTGCCACCACCTTGTAGTGTAGAACATCAACCTTTCCGCAAATCTATCTAGGCCTACCCCTAGCACCTACCCATTTACCTCCAAACGCCTTTCTACCCATTATTGAACGATGCCGAAAATTCTTGACAGGTTGGCGAGCAAAAATCCTCTCCAAGGGTGACAGGCTCATCCTACTGTCTGCTGTCCTCTGCTCCATCTGGGTCTACTTTATGTCAGTCTTCCTCATTCCCAAAAGCGTGCTAAAAACCCCAGACTATCCGTCGAGCCTTCTTCTGTGTCGTAGAGGGAACTTGAACCGGTGCTCAATGCTTAGTTGCCTGAAAAAATGTTTGTCAGCCAAAAAAGTTGATTGTCTAGGTCTAAAAAATCTTCGTGTGCAGAATAATTGTCTACTAATGAAATTTGCTATCAAAGCCCTGCTTCTGGATCAAACTCCGTGGCTAGACTGGATTAACCTACAACAGCCAAATGCTCTCATCGCTCCACAAAACAGTCACTCCTTCCTCCATAAACCACCAACTACCAGCTTTACACACCATCTCTTTTGTCATCACAAATTCTGGAACCAACACCTATTTTTGGCTAGATATTTGGCTACACGAACAATCACTCGCTACTCTGTTTCCCTGCCTCTACTCGTATACCACTACTCCCCTGGCTCGTGTGGCTGCTGTTTTGAACCACGGTTTAGAATCAATCCTAAGTGTCGGTGTCAAAACCGGCGGATCTCGGGTAGGGGGTCCCGAACTGTGCGTCTAGGCCGGATGGTAATAGGAGGCAGGGAACACGATGTTTTACCCAGGTTCGAGCCCTCTTGATGGAGGTAAAACCCTACGTCCTGCTTGATTAATATTGATGATATGGGTAGTACAAGAGTAGATCTACCACGAGATCAAGGAGGCTAAACCCTAGAAGCTAGCATATGGTATGATTGTTGTATATGGAGTTTATTGCCTACGGACTACAACCCTCCGGTTTATATAGACAACGGATAGGGTTAGGGTTACATAGAGTTGGTTACAATGGTAGGAGATCTTGAATATCCGCATCGCCAAGATTGCCTTCCACGCCAAGGAAAGTCCCATCCGGACACGGGACGAAGTCTTCAATCTTGTATCTTCATAGTCCAGGAGTCCGGCTGAAGGTATAGTCCGGCTACCCGAACACCCCCTAATCCAGGACTCCCTCAGTAGCCCCTGAACCAGGCTTCAATGACGACGAGTCCGGCGCGCAAATTGTCTTCGGCATTGCAAGGCGGGTTCCTCCTCCAAGTCCTTCATAGAAGATTGTAAACACCAAGAGTAGTGTCTGGCTCTGCAAAATAAGCTTCCACATATTGCCATAGAGAGAATAATATTAACACAAATCAAATCTGCTGACGTATTCCGCAGTGCGTCACCACACTACGGCCAAATCCTTTACTCGAATCGATTTCACTTTTCCACCTCAGCGTGTTTTGCGAGGCAGTTTCCTTGGCACGTCTTGTCAAAGCAGAGATCGTGTACCCCTTTTACGGGATTCTCATCAATACGGACGTGGGTAATCCAATCGCGCCATTTATCACGGCGCTTGGGAGGCAAGCGAGTTTTACCAGGCTGGTGGGGACGCACAACCGCATCCGCCTATATAAGGGGACAAGGATCCACCTTTTTACCTACGCCTTCTTCCTCCTTTGCCTATCCATCTCCTACGCACTCGAGCTCCAGCGCCCAAGCCCGCACTTCCCACCTCAACCTTCTCCAGCATTGTCCGGAGCGGGAGGCAAGTGGATGGTCTCCTCCGTCACGGAGGGTAAAGTCAAGAAACTAAGGAAGGCCGGATACCTGTCCAAGGACATCGCGCACTGGCTTCCCGAAGAGGGGCAGATTCTCCCCACCCCAAGGCCCCATGAGAGGGTAGTATTTCTCCCCCACTTCCTCCGCGGACTGGGTTCTCCACTCCACCCATTTGTCCGGGGACTCATGTTCTACTACGGCCTGGATTTCCACGATGTGGCTCCGAACTTCATCCTCAACATCTCGGCGTTTATCGTCGTGTGCGAGGCTTTTCTCCGCGTCCACCCTCATTTCGGCCTCTGGCTCAAGACCTTCAACGTCAAGCCTAAGGTGGTGCGTGGCGGCCAGGCGGAGTGCGGAGGCGCCATGGCGGGCAAGATGGCCAACGTCCTATGGTTCGAGGGCTCTTTCGT